TTACTTTGATTGAGATGGAATCATCCCTGTTTTCCTTGCATATGCAAAGATCCCTCCAGCATCGATGACCGGCCCGGCATCTCCAATAGGCTTCAGTTTATACTCCTTGCCGGTCGTATGATTGATCAAACGACTCTCTCCCAACTCAATAGTCACCACATCCCCAGTCCTACACTCCTCGCATATTCTCACTTCCGATTCTAGCGGATAAACTTCTCCAGTTGCCACGGAATTCCTGAAAAATATTCTAGCATAAGATTCAGCCACAACTGCTTTTGCCCCCGCAGCCCCAAGTGCAACAGGTGCATGCTCACGCGAGGACCCACAACCAAAGTTAGCACCACCTATCACAATTGTGTATTTTGTTTTGGTCTCATTTGGTTCAATGAAACGATTGGCATATGGCGAAGGGAGACCAATAAGAGCGTATGAGCCCAATTTCTCATACTCGGCTGGGTTTGAGGGAACCAATGTGAGGTATTCTGCAGGAATTATTTGGTCTGTGTCGATATTATCCCCAACCACATAACAAAGGCCATGGAAGGTTTTAGTTGAGGTGTCATAAGGAACAGAGGAGGGAGTGGAGGTGGCATGCGTTATAGTGGTGATTGCACGTTGTGCATGTGGGGTGAAAGTAGAATTCAGGGGTTTGACAGTCAAAGGCAAGAAGGTGGAGACTTTTAAGGAGGGAGAGAAAAGAGAAGGTCGGGAGACAGTGGTTTTTGATGCTGAGGATGTGAAGGTGGTCGAGTACGAAGCATGAGACAAAGAGGCAGCCATTATTAGATTAATATGTCTAATACAAATGCAATGATGAACTGGGTTTTTTGCTGAGTGTTGTCCTTGACGATGGCTTCAGCTTTCAGCAGGTAACATAAAGCAATGTTCTGTGAAATAGGGTTTTCTATTACGCAACAAATTTATATAAACCACATATACATACGTATAAACAAACACTTTTCACATATAAAAACAGAAAGTAAATGAACAGAACCCTTTGCTGATTATAAGCCATGATTAGCATCTATTTTCTTTCTTGTTAAAAGAAAACCTAGAGAAACCATTCATAAACAAACACTTATATGACGATAAATCAGGGTGGTTTTTTTCCAACCCCATCGACGTGCCGAGAAGACAAGTAAAGAAATTTCTACCCTGTACTTCAGTTCAATAATTCAGTGTCAAATCAATATCTGTAATCTCAGTTCGATGACATCGAGATAATGTGAATGCAACTTCTCCTCAAATGTGAATACTGCACAAACATATTTAAATTCCCTACAAATTTCATGGAACTTTATAAACATATTTTGAAAATTTACTCACCATATGATTCTCAGTATCGTAATTTATTCTATATCTTAAACCTATCAAGACTCCAGTTATGGCATAATTCAACTTGAGGCAGCAAATTTGATTAATTCCCAACAAAAAATGGCAACCAGTTCAAAGTTCATCAGATGCACAAAGATTCCTCATCAAAAACAGGAAATGAAATATAAATGTTAAATCGGGAATTAGGGAAATTGTCTTTAAAATCCCAAATTCAATCAATTCTACACTGTTCGAAACCCTAACTCCTTTGCTTTATCCTTCAATCCCCGCACACACACAAAAGCAATGTAAGGAGACAGAAAAGAGAGGAGCAAAGAAGAGGAAAAGGAAATACCTTTGATTAGGGCTGATATGGAATTCAGCAGCTGAGTCTGTGAATGGCGGCTCTGAAATGTATGAATTTGGTTCATCTAATTAAGGGTCTTGTTGATATGACACCTGCAGTAATGCAAGATTGGCTTAATTCATGATTCTGCCCTTGAACTATATTCATTTCTATACTTTGGTACCTAAACTTTTTTGTCCCAATTTGATACCTAAACAGCTAAATTTAAGGGGTGAGTAAATAGTTGATTAAACCAAATTAATAGATTTAATTGAAATTTGGTTTTTTTAGTTTCAATTTAGCTGGTTAATTTGACTTAGTATTAATTTTGGATAATTGAATCAGATTGGAATAAATTGATTAATTTATTCTGAATATATAATTAAATACTTAAATATAAAATAATTTAATCTAATAATTTAATTATTTATTTAATTACATATATTTAATCTAACCATGATTATTTCTATTTTGAGTTAATTAAACTACACATTCTCAAACTACGATTCTCATTATAAATTAGTCTCTAAATTTTTTAACATTTTAATTTCATCCTCAAGTTATGATTCTAATTTTAAATTGGTCTTCAAAATTTTGAGCATTCCAAATCCATTCCCAAATTATGACCCTCATTTTATATTAGTCCCCAAACTTTTGAAAGTTCCAATTTCATCCCCTAACTTTTGAATTATTTTGGGGACATTATTATAATGTTCAAAAGATAGGGGAGTAATTTAGAATGAGGATCACAGTTTGGATATGAATTTGGAATGTTTAAAAGTTTGGGATCAATTTAAAATTAGAATCATAATTTGAGATGAAATTAAAATGTTCAAAGTTTAGGAACTAATTTAGAATAAGTCATAATTTGGGGTTGTATGCTATAATTAACTCTTTTATTTTATATATAAAAATATTAGAACAGTAACGTTTAAAATATAACAAATTTGAATATCACACTTATAAAGTAATGATTAAACTAAAATTGAAAAAAAAAAGAGAAAATTTTTTAAAATATTTTTAAAGTGAACCCGTAAATATGGTAAAATTTGAATTAAAAAAATGTGATGACACAAAAAATGAAAAATAATGTATACACAACAAAAACATGTGTGAATGGCTTCAACCCCTCATTCGCTTGCCAAATTGTTAAGGAACGTGTACTAAAACCTCATTTCAGATCCTTGATCAATATATGAGTTCGTTTCGGTGAGGCGACGGCACCAGGCCTTGTGGCCGGTTGCTGGCCGCCGATCCTTTTATTTCTTTTGTCATTTTGACCTTTTAATAAGTATTTCTTTCAACAATAAGGATCCTTTTATTGACGTTGGGCCTTTTATTAAGCCTACTGAACCAAGTTTTGGGATGATCGAGATAATTAGAGCTCCAAATCAATTGTGGCCGGCCCAATCTTTTTCTTATTTCCAGGCTGCAGGGCGTGCCTTTTGAAGTGGTGTTTTCTATCCAAGCATTGGAGGAGGTTTTAATCAAGATCTCTCCAATTCTTCGATTGGTTTGATATTCTTTCATGCTTATTAGGGGGTTAATCGGGTTTATGTTAGAGCTTCCAAGATAGTCATAGTTTCAACAGGAAGCAGTCGAAAGCAAAGGTTAGAGTGTGTTGTATAATCCTAGAGTATCAATGATCGAAAGTGCAAGCTGTGGTGGGAATATCTCTGGAAGCTGAAGCAACTTTAGCAATTGGTGAAGCCCTGGGTGTGGATTTTTCAACTTCGTGAGAGTAGGTACTTGAGAGTGTTGTCGTTTGAGCTCTCAGATAGGGGTTTGGGTTAAATTCTTTGCTCGGTGTTGATCCCTTATGCTCTAGATTTTGTTTGAAGTTTGGAGTCTATTATTATTAGTGGTGGTTGATGGTGAGGCTTAGCTGGTGGGTAGTTTGTGACGTGTTTTTATGTTTAGCTTCGAAATCTAGTGTTTTCGGCTGAAGCGGTTTGGTTTTCTCCTCTTGGCTTTTGCTTCATTGTTTATGTTTTTCGGATCCTGCTTTCAGCTCTTATGGGAGAAGCTTGTGTGGTTTGATTAGTTGTCACAATCGTTTGTGGTTGTTGCGAGATATTTCAGCTCCTTATTCAGGCTTTGATATTGAGTGGCTTTTGCTTTTATGTTCTGCTGATGTGTTTATCTCTTGTTAGTGAGTGATTGCAATTTGGATTTAGTCCATTGCTGCTACGTTTGGCGAGCTTGATTGAAGGATGAAGAATTTATAATTGTGTTGCAGTGTAAGTAGTTGTGTTTTAGCAGGTTTTGGTGAATCAGTTTCTGCTGCTGTTTCGGTTACATCTCAGTGCTGCGGGGTTTGATTTAGATCAGTTTTGCTGTTCTTTTGGTTATTATTCTCACTGCTGTTTGGAATATGTTGGTGTTGTATGTGTTGGGTGGTGGTTTGGGTTTTGTCCTCTTTGATGTTATTGTTTTCTTGTGTTTGATCATTTTCACCTCAAGGTACACTTTTTCCCTCCATTTAGGGTTAGAGAGGTTTTTTAACGAGGTCCTTGAGGTGGTGTACTTTATAAATTATTATAATACAAAGTATCTTATTTCAAAAACAAATGTTATCAATTTTCATTAATCAAATTATTTATTTTTGAAAGGATAAATTAGAATTTTTTTAATTAAATAAGTGTGCTTGGAGGACCTAAATTGAATTTTAATTTTTAAGAAGACTGAATATGCTATGTTATCTATTTTCAAGGGGCCTATGATCCTAGCTTCGCTACCACCACTATAATATATATATATATATATATATATATATATGTCACTAAATATCATTTTAACGATTTGAAATAATTATGAGATAATATATGTTCAAATTATTTTTAATTTATTGACAATATATATACATCATATAAATGCAGTTACTCAAATTTAAGACTTAAAAAAATAATATTTAAAATAATCTAAAGAAATATTTAAATATAATATAAATTAATATGTCGCCAAAATAAACAATAATAACATAATTTAAAATGGTATAAGTATATGATTCGTAACCTGCATACGATATTTCAACATATTTAAAAGTTCAAATGACATTATTAATCATTCATAAAATTTATCGTCGAGTCTCAAAAATTTCTTTCATTCATCTTCATCTCTTGATTAATTTGGGACCTTTGTTTTTTGAGACGGACATAAAATGTTATAATAAATAATAAAATTTTAAAATTTTAAGATGGATTAATTTATAAAATTTTAGGGATTAAAACAGATTATTAATAAAAAAATTAATATATATCTAGATTAACATTAGACCATACCGATATTCAAATGTTTTATTTGATATGAGTGTTGGATACGAATAAGTAGTCGTGGTAGCTTATTTCGCGGCTTGTGCAAGTATGTTACTGATGGAACCGGTCTGCTCTTTTGCAGTCTCCACCAGTGAATCCTACAAATCAAAGATGCACCATTGAAGAACCAAGACTCGTTTTCTTGACAATGAAACCCTAAGTTGTTGTTGTACCTGTGCAGCTACGGAACGCACAATGCTTCTCTTGCTCGGTTCTTGAAATTCACCAGAGATCAAGATCTCGTCTAGTATATAGTAAGCCTTCCAATGCCAACAACAACGATGTTTACTTCGATTCGAATAGAGTATCAAATATTCATATACGCTTAACATGGATATATTCGAGTCTGAACAACATGGAAAAGGTAATGAACACACCTTATGGAAGTTGTAGATCAAGTCAAGTTCACAGACCTGGTGGCACCTAAATGAACCACAATCAGAGATGAAAAACAGGGTTTTTGTATGTACATGCCATTGATTAAAGTTCAACTCACACTGCCAAAGTATCTGTCGAGAACCTCAACGTAGTGATGAATGATTTCTAGAATCTCTAGTTCATTGCCATCCGGGTCAATGCACATGCAGAAGTAAAGACTGGCATATCTGCATAATTTGATCATATTCTGAATCAGGATAACCCGTGATTTTATTTTAGGAGTACGAATTCAGAAGATTATATTAAAAATTAAGATGTGCGAAATTATAAACTTCAAAAGGAACGGAATTAGTACATAAAATATATAAGAATTTAAAATTTACAAAGTTACGGGCATTCATGAATTTGACATAAATGTTGTGTCTTTCACCTTTTGTAAACAACTTTCAATCCTCTCCATTCCACAAAGTTGCAGAGTTTGGGCCCTCTTGTGAGAATCACACCACTCAGCTCACGTATGACCTTTCTCAAAATGTCATTGTCACACTACATTAGTACCAGAGACACAGAAAATGCAGCAGTTCTTGTGTTTTAGTCCTACCTTATTCGGGCTCGAATGTTAGCACTTGATAACAAGGACAGAGTTAGAATTAAATATTAGAGAGACAAAGCTTTATTATGTTTTAGTCCTACGATATTGACTTATGGGTACGATGTTGTTCAGGGAAACGGTAATATCTTATCGACCGGTTGAATCCTGAGGAGTCGGAGTAAAATAGATTCAACGAATTTAACAATACCTTGGTTCTTTCCTTCTTAGAATAAGTGGAATACCATTTTGTCAACCTGACTTTCCCTTGCCGACTGATTAGAAGTACAAAGTGAATCTGAAATACAAAAACCTCATAGAACACGATACAACAACAGAAAAAAGTTCAAACAATCATAACATATACATCCGAATACGATACTTGCATTTATTACGATATCCGTATACGACACTCATGTATCCGGATACATATATTAAAACGCATAACATTCACAATTTAATTATAATGCAATTTCGAAATATAAAAACCTTGAGTGAATTACCATCGTTTGTATTGACAGGACGAGAAATTGAAATGAAGGGGATCGATCTTTAAAGCAGAGAAAGCAATGGATATCTCCGATTCGAATTTTTGGTGTTGGGATTTTGTTATTGTTTTTCTTTTAACAATTTAGTCCTCAAGATCCAAGGAAAAGAAGGTGAGAATGAGAGAAGATGATTTTTTTTCTTCGAAATAATCGGATCGCATGCCATCCGCATTTGGCTTTGGAATAGAGTTCCCCATTATATATAGCTTTGCGTCTCTCATGAAATGTCTAAAATTTACAATTTTTTTTATTATGATTTTTATATATTTTTATATATTTTTTTAAAAAATTTCTCATTAAATTTTAGGATAAAGTACACAAATGATATTCTGATTATATAGCATTACTTTGTTGAGTCCCCGATTATTAAAGTTATAAAATCGTCCGTCGACTATAGGATATTTTTTTTTGTTGAGTCTCTCGACTATTCATATGTTCCAAACTCGTCTTTTTCCGTTAAAAAAATTGGCGGCCATCTAAGCTGGACGTTAACATGCTCACTAGGATATGATACAATATGATCTAAAGACCATTTGAGTTGTATTTTGTAGACCGAGTTTCTGTTTACATTATACCATCGAGTTAGGCTTGAAATATTACATTGTCTCGATGATGCTTGAAATCAACAACGATATCATTAGACATGTTTAAAATATGATTTTATCATATCCATGTCAGTAAGTTAACCTCCAGTTCAAACTGTCATTAAAATTTTAACTCAAAATGGTGAGTTTGGAATATATGAATAGTCAGATGACCATTTTGTAACTTTTAATAGTTGAGAGACTCAACAAAGCAATACCTTAGAGATGGAGATTATTTTATAACTTTTAATATCCAGGGACTCAACAAAGCAATATCCTATAATTTAGGGACCATTTGTATATTTTACCCTAAATTTTAAAATTTTAATTTTTTTTAAATTAGGCTCTTTAAAAATTTATTTTAATAATCTATTGTGATTATATGATAGTATATGTTTAAAAAATTTAATTACCTAAATCGTTAACATCCTCCCTTAGTTAAAAGAAGTTCAATTTTGTTGTTTCTTACTATCATTTTAGTTAGAATTGTTGCGGAAGACGACTATCGGATAGAGCAAAATAACAATTGATAATTTGAGAAAATAAAAATAAAGATAAAGAAGACACAAATTTTACGTGGAAAACCCCTAAATAATATAGGGTAAAAACCACGGGCAAAGGTAGAAGAATTTCACTATGAGAAAATAAGAATTACAACTTCTCTCGATCTAACAAGGAGAAAACAATGACAATTCTCTTTTGATAAAAAGGAGAAAACAACTCTAAAAAAACTCTTTAAATTCTCTAGTATTGGGAGAAAGCTAGAATGATTTGGGATGGTTTTGAAGCTAAATGAGTTAGAGTATTTATAGTTAAAGCTTAAGGACTAATCTTATAAATACCCTAAAGTATAAGGACTAATTTAGCAATTTTACCATGCCATAAAATTCAATAATTTTGATGAATCATTGCTGCTAACTAATGCACTTTATCATTGTTGCCAACTAATGCACTTTCGGTGCATTATTCAAACCATTTTGGTGCTTGCATGGCTGACAACTTTCAATAATCTCCCACTTGAAGATTTGATTGGAACAATCATATCTTCACACCATTCTTTCTACCTTGTACCATCATGTTGCTTATGTTTCTGACAGTCCACAAGAGGATCGACACCAAGTAAATTTATCAGCATTGATCGCCTTCGTCATGAAATCTGCTATGTTGTCTTTGGTATGGATCTTCTGCATATCTATCATCCATTCTTCCACCTTTTCACGAATGAAATGGTACTGAACACGTATGTGCTTTGCCCTTGAATGAAATGATGGATTCCTTTCTAAATGCAAGGCGTTTTGACTATCACAAAACAGAGATACATACTATTGATTGTGCCCACGCTCCTCCAATAGCATCTTCAACCAGATTGCTTCTTTAATGGCTTGTGTAGCTGCTACATATTCTGCTTCTGTTGTGGACGTAGCCACAATTGACTGTAATTTTGAAACTCATCTTACAGTTATACCAGCAACTTTGAACACATATCCTGTAGTAGATTTGCTTTTATCCAAATCCCCTGCATAGTCAGAATCGACATACCCATTGATAAGTAAGTTTGATTCTCCGTAACATATGTAACATTTGAGGTCCCTTTGATGTATCTCAGAATCCTCTTTACTGTATTCCAACGCTCTTTGCATGGATTCACCATGTACCGACTAACCACTCCCACTTCTTGTGCAATGTCTGGACTTATGCATATCATAGCAAACATTAAACTTCCCACTGCTGATGCATACGACACTCGAGACATCTTCATCATCTCGTCTTCACTACTAGGACTCATACTGGAGGATAATTTGAAGTTAATAGGAAGAGGGGTAGAAATTGGCTTACAATCTTGCAAGTTGAATCGTGACAAGATCTTCTTCAAGTAATTCTTCTGTGAAAGTCAAATCTTCCTATTACTTCTGTCTCAGTGAATTTGCATCCCTAGAATCTTGTTTGATGATCCCAAGTCCTTTATTTCAAATTCCCTAGCCAGTTGTGCCTTCAATTCTTCAATATGATCTTTGTTGGGTCCTGCAACTAACATGTCATCCACATACAACAATAATATAACAAAATCGTTATCATTAAACCTCTTGAAATAAACACAAGGGTCTGTATTAAGTCTGTTGTATCCAAGACACATAATGAAGGAATCAAATCTCTTATATCAATACCTCGCGCCTGCTTTAGACCGTACATATATTTGTTCAACTTGTAAACCAAGTTCTTCTTTTCGTCTTCTTCAAAACCTTCAGGCTGGAGCATATAAATATCTTCTTCAAGATTTCCATGAAGAAAAAATGTTGTTGAGTTAATCGATTGACTGAATCGGCCAAGAGGGGGGTGAATTGGCAATAAAAATTTTGGTGGAAGCTTTTGCAGAAAATTGAAAGAAATTGCACAGCGATTTAAAGTGGTTCGACTTTATCAACCAAAGTCTACGTCCACTACCTTAGCTATCCACACTAAGGATTTTCTAACAAATTCACTAATTTGTTCTTTCTTTTGAGGCCAAAGAGATAACCTTACAACTCCCTCAAGAATATACCCCAATTCTTTAGAACACTCTTTTCTCAAAGAGAAATACAAATTTGCAAACTTACAAGAAAAACCTCACAAGGCAAATATGTTTGCACAATTCTAGAACAAAGAAAGAACACTCAAGAATAAATATAATTGAGCACAATAAGTGTTCTTGAAAGCAAAATGAATATTGAATGAAAAATAGGCTTGAAATGCTCAAACTTGAGGTTTGATGCTTTCTCTTTGATTCTCTCTTGATTCTAATTGCTTGATGTTTCTTGTTGTTGATAAATGGCTTCTAAACTTTTTTAAATACTCCTTGAATCAATTCTGAACGTTGGTGATAATTAGTGGAGTTAATAGAGCCGTTATTGTGTGAAAACAATTAATTTTCTGGTTGGGAGCGTCTCATGCATCGATGCATGACCATTATGCATCGGTGCATCAGTGCAAAATTTCAAATATTTTGACCGTTGGACTCCTAGTGCATCGGTGCACTAAGAGTGCATCGGTGCACTAAGAGTGCATCGATGCATGAAGTGCATTCGATGTTTGAAAAATAGCATGGTGCATCGATGCATGGATTGTGCATCGATGCATCAAATGTATTCGATGTTTTAATTAAATTAGAGTGCATCAATGCATGGAGAGTGCATCGGTGCATGGAATGCATTCGATGTTTCAATTTATTCATTGATGCATCGATGCATGGTATTGATGCATCGGTGCATGCCTTTGAAAAATTGATTTAAGGCTTGATTTTGGTTTAAAATACTTTCAAAAATTATTTCAAAAATAGTTTAAGTACAAATCATAATTTTACACATTTAGTAAGGATTAAAATTGATCTTCAAAGACTTGGAGTAATAATTTGATATTCGATAAATTGAATCGAATATAAATTGTAAAATCATTTGTAAAAATCTTAAAATTCATTTAACTTAATTTGTTATATCGAAATATCAAAAATGTTTTTAACAGTTGTTTTAACATCTAGCTGCTCTAGATGTAAGTTCAATGTAGCACACCTTGCCAAAACTACTCGAACTGTTGTTAGTCGAACCACAAGAGAAAAGATTTCATTGAAATCAATACCTTCTTTTTGAGCATATCCTTTGATCACCAGTCTTGCACGATACATCTCAACTTGATCGTCACAATTTCGCTTGATTTTGAAGACCCATTTGTTACCAATTGACTTCCTTCCTTGTGGTAGTGGCACAAGGTCCCATGTATTATTTTTATGAAGGGCTTCAGTTTCTTCTTGTATCGCCATCATCCACGGTGAAACATCTAAGCTGTTTATTACCTCCTGGTATGTTGATGGTTCACCATCCTCTGTTAAAAGGCAATATGCAATATTTCCTTCTATAACATAATCTGAGTGCCAATTGGGACGTCTTCTCACACGATCTAATTGACGAGTTGTTGGAGCTTCAGAACTCTTTGGTTCTTGTTCATTATGTGTTGGTTCTGCTTTAGAAGAATCTCCTTGTTCAACCTCCTTTTCCACATGTATCTGTATAGTCTCTGACTTTTCAGTGCTATCATCGTCTTCTTTTCTTTGTAGTTTATCTTCTACAAAGATGACATCCCTACTGATGATCACTTTGCCGGTAGTGGGATCTCACAAGCGATACCCCTTTACACCATCGACATACCCCAATATTTTGCATTGCCTAGATTTTGGATCCAGCTTTGAAATTTCTTGGGAGTTGTTCAACACGTACACAATAATTCCAAATACATGGAGGTTTAAATAATTAGTTGG